AAAATCTTTAAAAAAAAAAAAAAAAAAAAAGAGAAAGGCAGAAGATTTGAGACCTGAATTGGCGATGTGCCGATGAGGCAGAGGTTAGAGTGATACAGGCAGAGGTTAGAGTGACACAGAGGTTAGAGTGACACAGAGGTTAGAGTGATACAGGTTACAAGTCAAATGCCAACTGTTCCCAGAGCTAGCTACAAGGAAGGACTCTCCCCTAGAGCCTCCAGGGGGACCAGGACCCTGCCGACACCTTGATTTTGGACTCCTGGCCTCCAGAACTGTGAGAGAATAAGGCTCTGTTGTTTTAAGCTGCTCAATTCGTGATGCTTTGTTACAGCGGCCCTAGGAAGTGAACCCACTGTGGAATATAGACTTCCCGAGGTGGGGAGGGGCCAGGGGCACGGCAGCCACACGGATGAGGCTTCAGATTGGCCCTAGCCAGCAAGAGCTGCATATGTCAGGCGGGCTGCTTAGCCTCTCTGAGCTTCAAGTTCCTCACCTGCAAAATGGAGCCAGTAACGCCTACCTTCCAGGGCTGCTGTGTTGTTTTGCTTTAACATCTTCATTGGGATATAATTCACGTATCATACAATTCACCCATTTAAAATGTGCAATTTGGTGGTCTTTTTAATATAGTCACACAGTTGTGCAACCATCCCCACAGTCAACTTTAGAACATTTTCATCATCTCCCCCAGAAAAACCCCATACCCATTAGCAGTTGCTCCCCATTTCCCACTACAACTCTCCTGTAACCCTAGCCAACCACTAATTTACTTTCTGTCCCTAAAGATTTGCCCGTTCTGCATATTTTATATAAATGGAATCATACAATATGTGGCCCTTGTGTCTGGCTTCTTTCACTTAGCGTAATGTTTTCAGATTTCATCCATGTTGAAGCATGCATCAGTACTTTGTTCCTTTTTATGTCTGAGTAATATTCCGTTCTATGAATATGCCATATTTTGTTTATCCATTCATCCACTGATGGACATTTGAGTGGTTTCCATATTTTGGCTGTTATGAATTATGCTTCTATGTACATTCATGCACAGGTTTTTGTGTGGACATGTCCAGGGTTGTTTTGAAGACTAAACGAAGCAGTGTCTAAGGCGTTGGATATGCCCTTCAACAAATGATAATGAAGAGAAAGATCTGCCCCAACTCTTTCAATTTACAGATTAGGGAACTGAACATGGAGAGGAGCAGAGACTTGCTTGAGGCCACCCAAGGCAGGAGAGCATAACACTTAAAAGCAGGTCTCTGAGCCAGACTGCCCAGAACCAAATCCTCATTCCACTTGTACCTGGCTACCTTATGTAAGTCACTTCACCTCTCTGAGCCTCAGTTTACTTATTTGTAAAATGAGGATAGTGGTAGTACCTACCTCATAATGGTTGTTGATGTGAGGATTCAGTGTGTTCTGAATGTGTCTGGCACATAGTAGGTGCTCTATAAATCTTAACTGTTGTCATTCATGGAGCACTAGCTGTGGAACTCAGGTCTCCTGGCTCCCAGGCATGAAATGTCTTGAATCTCCAGTTCCTTCTTCTCCAGTTCCCTCTTCTCCAGTTCCTTCTTCTGTATCATGGGCATCTTCCCAGTGTGATTGTAAGTTTCTTGGAGGAAGGAAATATGGCTTCCTTTTCCCACTGCCCTGAGCACATAGGAGGTGCTGAATGAGCACCCTTGCCCACTTTCTTAGGCTCCCCCCAACCCCAGCCCTCACAGAGCAAGCCAGCTGGGAACTGTGGTAGGTGTCAATCTCTGCATCTTTCAAACACCCCTGAGATGACTGAGTGTGTCTCCCTTCCAGGCAGTGGACAGTGTGCTGCTATGGAGTTGGGGCCACTAGAAGGCGGGTACCTGGAGCTTCTCAACAGCAATGCTGACCCTTTCCAGCTCTACCACTTCTATGACCATATGGACCTGGCTGGAGAAGAAGAAATCGAGCTCTGCTCAGGTGGGCTGTCCTCCCTCTGGCCCCTCCCACGTCCGACCCCACCCCTCCGCCTGCCTTGGAGACAGTCAGCAACCTGGGGAAGTGCTGACGGCTGAGCGCCAGTCAGCACTAGGGACAGCTCCAACTCCGCTAGAGGCGCGCGCCCAATGGGGACATCTCCCAGCCCCATCCCGCCTCTCCCTCCTTCCCCACCAGCCCTCTTCCCAGATCCTTCCTGTTTCATCCAAGGGGCTTTTCCTCCCAGAACCCGACACGGACACCATCAACTGCGAACAGTTCAGCAAGCTGTTGTGTGACATAGCAGGTGATGAAGAGACCAGAGAGGCATATGCCAATATCGGTAAGGAAGCATTCTGAGCCCAGAAAAAGGACAATTGAGGGGAAAGGTTCTTTTTCTCTTTTGTTAGTCTCACCTAGTCATCATGAGCCACAGCAGGCCCCTCCCTCAGAAAGCAAGGCAAGGGGGATGCGGAGCGAGGGCTAGAAGAACAAAGTCTCCGGGGAAGAAGGGAGATGGAGAATGGTGAGGGGAATAGACCCCTTCGCCAATGACCACCAGGCAAACAAATCTCACTGTTATATCCTCTGTCTCCATTTCTATATCTTTTTCTATTTCTTGCTTTTCTTTCCTTTCTTCCCACAAAACCCATACCATACACCGCTCCCTCTCTTTCTCCCCAACTCCTAAGCCAAACTACTCTAATATTTATAATAACTCCCAGTTTTGGGGCACACGTAGTGTGTAATCACGGTACATGTGTTATTGCATTAAATCCTTACAACAACAAGGAAAGTAGATACTATTAGCATCTCCATTTTACAGATGAGGAAATTGAGGTTCAGAGAGGTGAAGCAATCTACCTGAGGCCGCATTAGAGATAGTAATGGGCAGGTCTGAAATTCTAACCCAGTTCTTTCTCATTTCAAAGTCCCTATTTTTAACCACAAAAAGGAAAGTGTTTGGGATGGGGAGATTGGCTAAGGCTTAAGGGGAGAGGCTCGTTTGCAGCTTTAAAAAGAGCTACAGCTTTGACAAGGCCAGAACTCTTTGGGAAGAGGATTTCTGTCATTGTTGCTGTTGCTGTTTGGGGGGGGGGGGGTAAAGGATCCCTCCTCACCAGGGTCGCTACCATCTCATACAGAGGCTTTGTTGAATTAGAAAAAGATGCCCATTTTCTGGAGGATGGAGCCCCCACCAGGAAGTAACAGCTTGGCTATCAAAGTGCTGGATTCCTGCTCCCATTTGCCCTCTAAGCTGAGCACCCTTGTACAGTGAACAACCTGCACAACTGTTCTTAGTGGCCCTTTTCCTAGCAACCCAAGAACCACATCACTGAGGTGGTCTGTTCTCAGCATGAATATGGCCAGTCTGTCCCCAGTGCACAGTTAATCCAGCATCACACAAGGGCAGAAAATAGAGAGAGGTGTGTGTCAAAAATTACAGAACGGAGGGCCTGCCTACTTCCCTTCCTTTCTGGGAATTTCCTCGGGGGAAGCAGAAGTGTTTGTGGCTGAGGGCCTTCACATTTCTGCACAACTGGAGGCAGTGGTGAAGGATTTAGGGGCTTTTTTCACTTAGGGGCGTCTCCACAGGAAGTGGGAGCTGCCGAAGCAAGCAGAGGAAACAGCTTCACCCAACTCTGCCCCTCAAGTCTGTGGTTTTCTCTGTGCTGCAGAGAACCTGGGCATGCAGTCATTTGAAGCAGCTTGAAATATTATGCTGGCTTCCATGTATACAAAATGTGAATAATAATCACATCTGCCTCATGGACGGCTCAGGATTGAATGAAGAAGTTTCTGTGTGTAAAGTGTTTAGAAAAGGAATTTGCAAAGAGTAAGCGTTCAATAAGTGTTGGGTACCACCCCCCCACAACCACCCCCCCAGCAGCATTATCATCTTTATCAGCAGCAGCAGCATTGCTGCCCTCACTCTAGTCCTCAGCTCAGAAGTCGTTTATGCCTCCCCATTGCCTATAAAATCAAGTCCTAACTTTCCCCAACCTGAAACTTCCACTGCAGACACCTACCTTTCAGAGTTTCCAAAACATACTCCTAACACCTCTCCTCAGTCTGTCCCCACTACCTCAGAAAGCCCTCCACTTTCCACCTCTCAGACTCTGCCCCATATTTCAAGGCCTGGCTCCAAGAGCCCTTCCTCTGGGAAGCCCTCCCGTATTGCTCCGTCCCACTATATACCCTCTCCTCTCACCTCTTGCCATGATAACTGTCTTCCCATTGGCTCCAAGCCATGTTCCACTTCATATAACTAACCACCATTTATTGAGCGCCTGCTGTGTACTGACTACTGTGTTGAATGCTTTAAATGCAGAGCCTCCAATCCTCACCATCCATCCCTGGGTCGTAGGCATTATTTATTCTCATTACACAGATGTGGAAATTGGGGCCCAGAGAAGTTAAGTAACTGGCCCAAGGTCGCACAGCTGGTAGGGCTAGTGGGGGGTACAGCTGGAGTTTAAACTCAAACCCCATGACAACTCTACATTCTGCACTGCACGACTTTATAGCAATAGATAAGTTTTCATGGATGCATATCATCCCTTCAGCTAGATTAAGAGCCCATGAAGGTTCAGTATTCAATATTAATTTGATCATTCATTTAGCAAACATTTACTGAGCCTCCACTCTGTGCCAGACCTGGAGGGTCACAGCTCCCTGGTGCCCAGTCCAAGACCTGGCACCAATAGGCATTCAGGGAGAATCTGTTGGTTGACCGCACTTTTCCTTGTCTGGGCAGCGGAACTGGACCAGTACGTGTTCCAGGACTCCCATCTGGAGGGCCTGAGCAAAGACATTTTCAGTAAGTTCGGGGCTTTCTGCTCAGCCTGCGTTTCCTTCCTTATTCCTTGGGGAGTGCCCATGATACCCAACGGCCACCCTCTGATGGGGGGTCAGATCCCTCCCCAACACAGGGACAATGGAGGCTCACCTTGGGCCTCCAATGACTGTGTGTGTTGGTGTCTTTGGTTTTTCTCTAAAGTCGAGCACATAGGATTGGAAGAAATGATCAGCGAGAGTGTGGAGGTGCCGGAGGAAGCAGGGCAGAAAAGTCAGAAAAGACGTGAGTGAGCCCCTCCCTGATCCCACCCAGCATTGCTTGAGTCTTGGCCCCGCCTTGGCTCCAAAGCCTGCTGTGGCTCCCAGTTACTTCTCTTGTCAAGTCCCGCCCACTCCGCCTGGGTTTGGGTATCCCGCCTACCTCTCCCCTCACCACTGCTCGTTGGAGACCCAGGGAGGAAGCAGATGGCCCAGGAGGAAATGGCCACTCTCCTGGCGGGTCTCTGTCCCTGGCTGTTTTGATTGCCATTTCCAAAACAACCTTTGGACTCTGGCTTCTCTTCCATCCTTAGCTGTCACCCTGTGTTTGAGGGAGGTCTCTACACACAGGTTCTGGAGTCAGCAAGAACTGGGTTTTAGTCCTGGATCTGCTGTCTTTTGTCTGTGTGACCTTGAGCAAGTACCTGCACCTCTCTGAGCCTCCTACTCAGTCTTCCTACCTCCTTAACCTCTCCTCACTTGGCAGCCAATGTGAGCTTTTAAATACAAATCCCGGAGCCGACCCATTGGCGCAAGTGGTTAAGTGCACGCGCTCTGCTGCTGGTGGCCCGGGTTCGGATCCCGGGCGCGCACCGACGCACCGCTTGGCGAGCCATGCTGTGGCGGCGTCCCATATAAAGCGGAGGAAGATGGGCATGGATGTTAGCCCAGGGCCAGTCTTCCTCAGCAAAAAGAGGAGGATTGGCAGATGTTAGCACAGGGCCGATCTTCCTTAAAAAAAATAAAATAAAATAAATGGAAATCCCATTGTTTTGCTGCCCTGCTAACCCTTCAATGGCTACAAAATATGTACCACAAGGCCTGCATGATCTAACCCTTCCCACTTCTCCAAACTCCCCACGAGCCACTATGCTGCAGCCACACTGGCTTCTTTCCATTCCTGTAACCCACGTCCCCTTTCCAGCCTCAGGACCTTTGCACTTGCTGTTCTCTCTTTCTGGAGTGCCCTTCCCCCAGTTCTTCGCATGGCTGGCTCCTTCGAATCTTTTAGGTCTTGGCTAACATGTCACTTCCTCCTGGTTGCCTTCCTAGATAACCCTTTCCACATAGATAAACTCACTTATTTTCACCTTGTCTGTGTCTCTCCTGGCACCTTAGCACTTGTCACAATCTGGACTTATTTTATTTATTCCTTTTGCCTAGTTCCCCCACTGTGAGGACAGGGACCCTGTCTTTCTTACTCATCACTGCATCCCCGGCTTCTAGCATAGTGCCTGGAAGACAGTAGCACCTCAATAAATATCCTCTAATGAAAATATCTGTAAAATGGGCATAACAGTTCATTGAATGCTGACTATGTGCCATCCCAGGTGTATTTATTTATTTTTGAACAGATGAAACAGGCACATGGTATAAAAATTCAAAAGGTGCAAAGAATATTCAGTGGGAAAAAAGCTCCCTCTCGCCCCTGTCCCCCAGTCCCTCAGTTTTTCTCCCTGAAAGCAACCTATGTTGCCACTTTCTTTTGTGCCTTGTCAGAAATATTCTATTCATTTATAAGCCAACTCTTTAAAAAAAAATTTTTTTCCACGCAAATGACCACATTGTCGGTACACTCTTCTGCACTCAGCTTTCTTCATTTAACATGTCCAGGAGGTGGTTTCCGTATCACTGATGGAGAACACATGGAATTCAAGGGAATTCCTCTCTTTCTCTTTTTGTTTTCATTTGATAAATATTTTCCTGAACATTTTATTATGAAATTTTTCAACATACAGTAAAACTGAAAGAATTGTACTACAAACAACCATGTACCCACTGCTTACCTTCTACAATTAATGTTTGGCTATATTTGCCTTGACACATCTCTGTCCATCTGTCCGCCCCTCTGTCCATGCTCCCATTCATTCATTTCCTTTTTGGAACATTTCAAAGGAAACTACAGGCACCAGTACACTTCCCCATACATCCTTCAGCATCCTTGTTCTTTTTTGGGGCTGCATGGTATTTCACTGGATGGATGAACCATGATTTGTTTGATCAGCCCCTTGCTGAGGGACACATAGGGTTTTTCTCCGTTGATGTGCTAAGCACTTGATGTTCACTCACTGATTTCGCCAATGTTCTCCTGCAAAGTACAAATCACCGCCCTATTTCACAGCTGAAAGAGCAAAGGCTCTGAGAGGCTCTGTTGCCAAGACACACAGCTAGGAAGGGATCAAAAGCAGGTTGTTTTTTACTTTTATTTTTTTAAACTCAAATGCGTCCTGCGTCCCCTGTGTGGCTCTGCCTCACCACCTTGGGTGCTTCCAGGGTGGGTTGGGCTCCAGCGGACGAGAGGGGACGGGAATGGTCAGAGGCAGAGGAGGGAGTGGATCCCCGAGGCCACTTCCCTGCCATTTGAAGGCCAGTCCATAGGGCCTACTGGGTCTGTGAGCCCCTCCTGGCTTGGAACACCCCTTCCTGAGCCAGCTCAGCGCTGTGTTCTCTCCGCAGCCTTCCCCGAGGAGCTGCCGGCTGACCAGAAGCACAGAAAGCTAGGTGAGCAGGGCGGGGTGGGAGATGGCAAGGCAGGAAAGTGGGGCCTCCTCAGGCGCACATAAACTGGCGTGGGAAAGCCAAGGCTCAGAGAGGCGGAGCCACTTGTCCAAGGTCACACAGCTGGTGAGAGGCACTGCTGGCATGCAGGCCAGGATCATGGTTCCACAGCCTGTGCTCTGTGGTTCCAGGCTGCTGGGAGATCCAGCTTCTCCTACAAAGACTCTCCCCTAACACCTCCCTCTTCTTAATTCTGAGTCAGAGCCGAAACCCCGCCCCTCGCCTCCTTCCACTGCCCCTCGGGGGCCACACTTCTCCTTTCAGAGCCCAGAGTCACCTAGGGTCAGTGGTCACCCAGCGCCTCCCGCCCTCCTCACAGCCCTCATGCCTCAGTGAGCCTGTTCCCCGGAGCTCACCATCTCTTCCCGCCAGATGCTTCCTCCCCACCCCGCCTCTCCCCTCCCCTTTGTTCCCCCATCTTCCTTCCTCCCCGCCCGTTGTTATTGCAAAGATGGGGAGACCAGACCCTGTGTCGGGAACAGGCTGTGGAATAAAAGGCTCATAGTCTGATGGAGGAAGCCTGGTGCCTGTCCTCAGAAAGTTCCAATCTGATGGGGAGACAGGGGCCCTGCCCATGAAGACCCCAGGAGGATGGAGAAGTAGTCCCTGTCTTCAAGGAGCTCCCAGTCTGATGGGGAAAGCAAGTCTCCACCCTCCTGGACCTCCCAGTTAAATGGAGGAGATAAACCTGTGCTCCAGTCTGAGGGGAAGTGCTTGGAGTCTCTCAGGGTCCCCAGGGGCTCAGTGGCTGGCTGTGGAAGGTGGTAGGGCCCTGGGGCCAACAGCCCATTCATAGGTCTGTCCCGCCCCAGCTCTCCATCTCGGGGAGCTCTTGCAGCCCAGTCACAAGGAGCAGGGTGCACAGAGCAGTTGTTGATCAAGCCAGCCACACCCAGGGCTGAGAAAAGGACAGGCGTTTCCTCCAACTGCCAGGAGAGAGATCCACTCTGCTCCCAGAGCCCATCCCACCCCAAGAAGGCCCCTCCAGGCACCCAGATCTCACCCAGCCTCTCCCATGGCCCCCTTCCTCACAGCCGAGCCCCCCGCTGTGCCCCTGGTGACTGGCAGTTTCCTGGTGGGACCAGTGAGTGACTCCTCGACTCTGCCCTGTCCATCACCGGCTGCTCTGTTTAACAAGGAGCCGGAATCCAGCCAGACCCGGCTGGAGGAAACCGTCCTGACGCCCGGTATGTTAGGGGCTTGGAAAGGGTGGGCTTCCCTGCTCCCTGGAGGTGCCCGAGGAGTGGCTAAGGCAGGGACCACCAGGCACAGGAATTCCCCCCACCCCGAATCAGTGTCACCCACTTCCCTCCCAGCCAGTCCCATCCTTATGGTCCCCACCAGCTCAGCCCAGGCCAGAGAACACGCCTTGGAAGAAACACATCCGTGGGAGGCATAACAGGAACTCTCCACCAATTAGGGAATTCACCCTCCAGCCCTATGCATTCATCAGCTAACTATGAACTGGGCGCCTTCTCTGTGCCAGCTGCTCTGCTAGGTGCTAGGGGCACCGCCAGGGGCAAGACAGACACGGCTGCTGCTCTTGGGGAGCCTGGAGACCTTTAAAAAAAGGAGTCAGATGTTAATCAAATAACCATGAAACAGGATTACAAGCAGATGCTATGCAGGGTCCCACCTCACTGCCTTTGTGTCTCGCAGTGCCCCCCTCCAGTTCCTTGTTGAGCTGCCTGAGTCTCCCTGCTGGACCCATCCAGATCATCCCCACACTCCCCACTCTGCCCCAGGGGCTCTGGCAAATCTCAGGGGCTGGGACAGGGGTCTCCGGCGTGTTCATCTACCAAGGTGAGTGTACCTGATTGCTCCCTGACCCCGTCCTCCCCTGGCCCCGGCATTTGGCAGTTGTAGCCTAGCACCTTCTCACGATCCTCTCTCCCCAGAATACCCTTCTCTGTCCCCATTTCCCAAAAATCAAAGCAGGGGAGCAGAGCTCCCCAAGGTGGCCTGGGTCAGTGACCCATTGAGTGGCTATGTGGCCTTCCCTGTATCAATTTCCCCCCGAGCCTTAGTTTTTCTTCTTTTTTTAATTAAACTTTATTATGTTTTTAAATCACAAAATCAATACACGCTCGTTAATAAGCCAAGCAATAAGAGATGCTTACAAGAGTCACTGAGCCACTCCCTCTCTCATTTAGTATACTGCTGTGAACAGTATGGTGTGCATCCTTGCACAGCTTTCTCTGAATTGCCTTGTTTCCTGACCAGCAAAATGGCCTCCGCTGACCTGCCACACTGACTTGTGGGGTAGTGAATTCGCCAGGGGAAGGCACCTTTGGCTCTCAGGGATGGGAGAGAGGATGAGGCCGGGAGAACACTTCCACTCAATTTGAGAGCATCCTTTGAAGGTTGCATGCCAGTTTTTGTCTAACGCCCTGGCACCCAGAAGGGAGCATTCCTGACAACTAGGAAAATGAGCACCGACCACACAGCAAGAAGCGTGCTATAATAGCACCTGCTCCAAGACCCCCATGGAGCTTTTTGCGTCCATTTCCCAGATGAGGAAACCAAGGCTTCAGGAGCTCAGTGTCACTCCAGAGCTCTTTCCTCAATTCTGTCCTGAAATGTTTTCCTTTGGAAGTTGCTCTGTCCTCTCCCCAGACTTCCCAAGCCCCACAGCCTGGTTTGGGGTAGGAGTGACCCAAGTGGGTCCCTGTGTGGGTACCTGGCTCTTCCTACACCCCTCTCCCTCCCCACATAGGCGAGGTGCCCCAGGCCAGCCAGGTGCCCCCTTCCAGCAGCCCAGCTGTCCACGGCCTCCCGAAGTCCCCAGACCGGCCCGGTTCCACCAGCCCCTTCGCCCCATCGGCAGCTGACCTCCCCGGCATGCCCGAACCAGCCCTGACCTCCCGGGCCAATGTGACAGGTAAGGGCCCTTGAGGCCTGTGAGTTAGTGGAAGCAGGCGTGAGGCCCGGGGAGGGAATCGCCTCGGACAATCACGATCTACAAACAGGGCTGCCTGCGGGGACAGCCAGGCTGTGTTTACGGGGAAAACAGAGCTGGAAGAGTCTCCACGGAGTCAACTGGAGAATCCGCGTCCCACCTGAACGGGCCACCAGCCTTCAGTTGCTTGTCACCCTGCAGGACAGCAGGCCCAGTGTGGCCAGATCTTCTGAACTGTCAGCAGAATCTGGAAATCCCAATTTTTACCTAGATATTGTGATTTTTAAAACATTCGTGAAATTTTTTCAAGTACAGCTGGCCAAAGAAAGACATCTTTGAGTGGGATACAGCCTCAGGCCGTAACCTCTAACCTCCGTCTTGGGGAGACCCAGTCCTTGTGGGCTCTGCCCTCGGGATACTCGGAGGACTGAATGCCCCAGAGGGAGGGGAGCCCCCGGGGGCACCCGCACCCTAACTCTGACACTGGCTTCTTCATCTCCAGATGAAGACGAGGTGTCCCCCACCCAATGCTCGGCAGCTCGCGACGTCCCCAGCAAGCCTCCAAAATGGCCTGGTGAGTGGTGGCAGGGTCCCTCTGCCATGGGTGCTGGGGGCCAAAGCCCAGATCTGGCTTCCCTTCACTCCTTCATTCAACCCATTCATTCACTCACCTACTCATTTGGTTCCACCATCAATTCAGCATTCATTCCACTGCTTACACTTAAGTGATGCTTACAGAGCACCTGCCCGTCGTACGTGCGTGCTAGGTATTGACATCTTGTTTGCGAGTCTGCGAGAATGGATGAGGGAAGAGTGGGTGATTGATGATGAGTATGGGAGTGATGGAAGGTGGGAATAAAAGAGCGAATAAGAGAACAGCCAAATTAGTAATCTTACTCTGTTCCAGGTGCTCTTCTAAGCACATCAGATATGTTAAAGCATCCAAGTCGCAAACAACCCTAACATTATCCCCATTTTACAGATGGGGAAACTGAGGCACAGCAGGGTCTAGAACAGGCTCGAGATGACACTAGTAAGTGGTGGAGTTAGGATTTGAACCAGACACACGGATTCCGCTATCTTAACTCTTAACGCCCCCCACTGCCCTCCTATATTGAGTGAGCAAAAGAAGAAGGTTAGTGAGTAAATGAAGGAGTGGATAGGTAAATGAGTGAGAAGATGAATGAATGAATGGGTGTGGGAATGAACGCGTGAGCGTCTGGGTAACTGAATGAGGCAGCTAAGAGAGAAGGCGGTCGATGAGGACAGTGTGGTGAACGGATGAAGACGCTAGTGGTGGCCAGGCTGGCCTCTCGCTGTCCTCACGGCGGCCAGCCCTGTCACTAGCATCCCCCCGCACCCCTTGGCCTTTGCAGAGAGTGTGGAGCAGTTCTGCCGCTCGCTACAGGACAAGCACCAGGCCGAGCCCGCAGGCCCGGACGGCATCCTGGTGGAGGTGGACCTGCTGCGAGCGCGGCTGGAGAGGAACAGCAGCAAGAGCCTGGAGAGGGAGCTGGCCACCCCGGACTGGGCGGAGCGGCAGCCGGCCTGCGGGGGTCTGGCCGAGGTGCTGCTGGCTGCTGGAGACCGGCGGCGGCCGCGTGAGACGCAGGTTATTGCTGTGCTGGGCAAAGCAGGACAGGGGAAGAGTCGCTGGGCCCGGGCGGTGAGCCGGGCCTGGGCCTGCGGCCGGCTGCCACAGTACGACTTCGTCTTCCACCTCCCCTGCCACTGTTTGGACCGTCCGGGGGACACTTACCGCCTGCGGGATCTGCTCTTCTCGCTGGGCCCGCAGCCTCTGCCGGTGGACGACGAGGTCTTCAGCTACATTTTAAGGAGGCCGGACCGCGTTCTGCTCATCCTGGATGCCTTCGAGGAGCTCGAAGCCCAAGACGGCTTCCTGCACAGCGCGTGCGGCCCCGTGTCCCCGGAACCCCGCTCCCTCGGGGGGCTGCTGGCGGGCCTCTTCCAGCGCAAGCTGCTGCGCGGCTGCACCCTGCTGCTCACGGCCCGGCCCCGGGGCCGCCTCGCCCAGAGCCTGAGCAAGGCTGATGCCCTGTTCGAGATGGCGGGCTTCTCAGCCGAGCAGGCCGAGACCTACGTGAGGCGCTACTTTGAGCTTTCGGGGGGCACTGAGCGCCGGGAGAGAGCCCTGGCGCTCCTCCGGGACCAGCCGTTTCTGCTCGGGCACAGCCACAGCCCCACGGTGTGCCGGGCGGTGTGCCAGCTCTCCGAGGCCCTCCTGGAGCGGGGCGATGAGGCCGAGCTGCCCTCCACGCTCACCGGACTCTACGTCGGCCTTCTGAGCCCAGCAGCCCGCGACAGCCCCCCGGGGGCCCTGGCGGCGCTGGCCAAGCTGGCCTGGGAGCTGGGCCGCAGACACCAGGGCACCCTGCGGGAGGACCAGCTCCCGTCTGCCGAGGTGAGGGCCTGGGCTGTGGCCAAAGGCTTGGTGCAGCCCATCCCGGGGGCCCCGGAGCCCGAGCTGGCCTTCTCCAGCTTCCTCCTGCAATGCTTCCTGGGGGCCGTGTGGCTGGCTCTGAGCGGCGAAATCAAGGACAAGGAGCTGCCGCAGTATTTGGCACTGACCCCGAGGAAGAAGAGGCCCTATGACAACTGGCTGGAGGGCGTGCCACGCTTTCTGGCCGGGCTGGTCTTCCAGCCTCGCGCCTGCTGCCTGGGCGCCCTGGCGGGGCCGGAGGGGACCCCCTTGGCGGACAGGAAGCAGAAGGTGCTCACCAGGTACTTGAAGCGGCTGCAGCCGGGGACGCTGCGCGCAGGGCGGCTGCTGGAGCTGCTGCACTGCGCCCACGAGGCGCGGGACGCCGGGCTTTGGCAGCACGTGGTGCAGGGGCTCCCGGCCCGCCTCTCCTTCCTGGGCACCCGGCTCACGCCTCCCGACACCCGCGTGCTGGGCAGCGCCCTGGAGGCAGCGGGCCGACACTTCTCCCTGGACCTCCGCAGCACTGGCATTGACCCCTCTGGACTGGGGAGCCTCGTGGGACTCAGCTGTGTCACCCGTTTCAGGTGGGGGCAGGGTCCGGGGAGGGGGCTTCTTCCCACTGGGCGCCTGCTGTGGTCTTGGTGCTGTGCCCAGTGCTGGCGCTGTGGGGTCTCATTGAGTATGCACAGCAGCCAGCTGGAGGCAGGACTGAGTCCCTCCGTTTTTAAGATGAGGAAGCCAAGGCTCAGAGAGGGACAGCAGCTTGCCTGAGGTCACACAGCCAGAGAGGGCAGCATCATTCTTTCAACCCATATTTGAAGGCCCGCCATGTGCCGGCCCTGAGCCATGTCTAGAATCTAAGACTGATCTGGGTTCAAATTCGTTTTCTTCTCTCCATCCCCTGATCAAACCACCAATTGGTCATGGGTGGATTAAAGCCACAGCCTCTCCTTGACCTCCCTGCCTCCATTCTGTCCTCTTCCACACCACTTTATATTCAACCATGAGAGCAATTGTCCCAGAACTTGCATTTGAGCATATCCAACCCCGCTTACAACCCTTCAGAGGCACCCCACTCCCCCCAGAATGAAGTCTAAATTCCTTAATTTGGCTCATTTAAATCCTTCTGCAATCTGTTTGATCACTTCAGCCTAACCGCCAGAGAATCTCTCCCACCTTCCCCCTAAACATACTTTACCCAAGCTGTAAGGTCCTACACCATTGTAGTGGTTCAAACAAGAATTTAGTGATGAGCTTCCTGGTAGCCAAAACAAAACCACCGGGAGAGTTGAGAAAAAGGAGGAATCGATAAGGGCTGGAGTGGTCATGGAAGGCTTTCTGGAGGAGGTAGGGGTTAAGCTGAGGAAGGAAAGTATATGAATAGGTAGGAGGTCCCTTCATGGAGCTGCCCCTCCACTACGGTCTAGCCCGGTCACTGTGCCTGGGTCTGAGGCCCTTCCTCCACAGGGCCGCCTTGAGTGACACGGTGGGGCTGTGGGAGTCCCTACAGCAGCGTGGGGAGGACGAGCTACTCCGGGCGGCGGAGGAGAAGTTCACCATCGAGCCTTTCAAGGCCAAGACCGTGAAGGATGTGGAAGACCTGGGCAACCTTGTGCAGATCCAGAGGTGAGGGGGAGAGGACGTGCAGGTTGAGGACACGCAGGACCTAATATTAAGTTTGCCATTAGCACTTCCAGTGCCTTATCTCCTTTGGGACATGCCCTGCCCTCCCCCTGGACAGCGGCCGCCTGGAATCTCTCCCTGCAGTCACCACCCAGGCAACACCACCAGGACTTGTCACTTGGTCCCGTTCAAACTTGCCATCATGTACCCAGTTCTTTCTCAGCAAAAGCCAGGGAGGTACTCCCCTGCTGAGAGTTATGAGCTGCCTTCTGTCCCCAGTGACAGAAATGACACCTGTGGGCACGTTCCAAGGCAGCCAGGACCAGTATCATCCCCATTTTGTAGATGGCAGAGCCCTAAGGTCCAGAGGGCAGAGGAAACTTGGCCACAGAACAACAGTGCTTCACTCATTCCTTCATCATACGTTGTGTGAGCACCTACTGTGCGCTGTCTGGGATGGGTGTTTGTAAGTGCCTGCTCTGAAACACACAGTAACGCCCTAATAACGTACTATCCTGAGGTTTTTCTTTTTTTAACAGACGGGCAGTCCTTCCGGGGAATTTTGGGCACTGGGGCAGATATCCTGGGACACACAGATTGGGGCTCAGCCACAGGCGACGAGCCTGCTCCCCTAACATTGCCTGTTCTTTCCAGGACAAGAAGTTCCTCAGAAGACGTAGCTGGGGAGCTCCCTGCTATCCGGGGCCTACAGAAGCTGGAGTTTGCGTAAGCAAAGGGGTGAATTGTTTCAGGTCCCCGCGAGGTTTCTTCACCAGCATTAGCCGGGCTCGTACCACCAGAATGGAGATGGGTCCCCAGAATCATTCTTAACCTCTTGCCCCACCACTCTGGAAACCAGTTTTTCCAGCAGCCGTGGCCAGTCCTGGCTAGTGCTGGAGTTTCTCGGGTGTGAAGCTAACTGGCCCATTTACTGGTGAACATGCTCATTCGCATTCACTCATTCAGCAGAGCTACTCACACGTGGCCGAGGCCACTGTCCTCAATGAGCTTGCAGTCTGGTGCAAATAGACCATTACCAACTGCTGAGATTCATGGCAGGAAACTCAAGGGCTGCTAGAGTGTGGACTTGGGGGAGGTCAAGGGGACTTCCTGGAGGAGGTGATCACTGAAGCTTGATAAAGGAGTAGGAATGAGCCAGGTGGGGAGGCCATGCCGGCTGGAGGGATAGTTGTCATCTCCCCAGTCTGCAGATGCAAACGCCGAGGCCTAGAGCATAAAATTTGCCCAAAGTCACAAGAGGCAGGTCAGCCTGGCTCTTGGTCCAACAAAGGAAAAAGCTAAATTGGTGTTTGGTCCTTGTTAGGGATCTGAAATCATCTAGCGATTAGGAAGGAATTATTAAACACTGCTAGTGTACTCCGCGCATTTTGTACATAATCTCACTAATTTCAAGAGCTACACTGGGAGATAGCCATTATCTTCCCCATTTTACAGATGAGGAAACTGAGGCCTAGCGAGGTTAAGTAACTTGCCCAAGGTGCCCAGCTGGTCACCCACAAGCTGTCTGCCCCTGCTAATCACTTCTCCCCCAACACCCGGAGAAAAAGCTAAGTGTTTCTTGTTTCCAACAGAGACAAAGGTGCCAAATTTGTGCAGAGGTAAAAATGTTGCTGAAAAGAGGAAATGTATGAAAACAATCACCGAGGGCCCTTTCTGGCTTTGAATTATTTTCAGCCTAAAAAGCCCCTAGTTCAAGGTCGGAACTGTGGTCTGGGGAACAGCAGCCATGGGGTGGAACAGCCCAGAACCGGGAGACTCACCACCTGGAGGCCGGAAGCCCCAAGAAAGTTCTGAGGAAGGGAGGAAGGAAGGAAAGGACTATTTTGGGTGTGTGAGCCACTGTGCCACTGTGCCAGGCATGCTGTGGTTCTCAGCTGCCCCCAGATCAGGCTCAAAACCCTGCCGGGACTCTGCTGGTAGATGGCCCTTCCCTGATCCCGCCCCCAGTTACCTCTTCATCCTTATGTCCCATCTCTCGCTCACTCCCCTCTAGCCTCGCGGTCCCCTTGCTGCTTTTCAGCCTCACTAGGCATGATCCAGCCTCTGGGGCTTTGCACTGGCTGTGCCTTCTGCCAGGATGCTCTTCCCCAGATATCTGCCTGGCCCACGCCCTCGCCGCCTTCTGGTTTTCACCAAGCAAGGCCTTTTCCGACTCCTCTATTTAAAAGTACAATTCTGCCCCACTTGACATGGTACTTTTCTCTGTCACTTATTATCTCCCACACCAGATAGCTGACCGATTTCTTTGATTATCTAGAATGTCAGCTCCACAAGGACAAGAATTTTTGTCTGTGTTGTTCACGGCTGTCTCCATGACAGGCTCTGTGGGCCTGGCACGTGGTAGGCAAGCAATCTATATTTGATGAATGAATTCCTTACTCCTTCCAACGACCTCATAAGACTGGGGCTACATTTGAGGAGACCGAGACTCAGAGGTGAAGGGATTTGCTGCAAAAGCCCCACAGGAGCTAAGTGGCAGAGCCCAGATTCAAATCAGATTTCAGACTCCCATCTTGTGAACTTTCATGGAGGCCAGTGGTTCCCAGACTTTGGGATTTCAAAGACTGAGAGTATTTCAGAGTGAATTTGAGTGACTAGGTACAGTTACCATCTTTTCATTTTTATCAAGTTATGTGTTCATTCAAACAAGCAAAATAACCACTGATGGCACCATAATTTTATCAAAGAATGAACATTTTAATGTCAAAAAAGTCCAAGGGACATAATTTCAGAATAAAAGACAGTTCAAGACATTGAGTACATTTAACCATATTTTAAAAACAAAACAAAACAGCCCTCTATTGTCTTTATTTCTCTCATTCCCTTGAAGTCTGGTCTAAATTAAATATCAATCCAGGCTGTGTGACCTTGTGTGAGTTAGATAATCTCTCGGTGCTTCTGTTGCCTCATCTGTAAAGTGAAGATAAGAAGTGCCCTTAGCTTGGTGTTAAATGAGATGTAATCTAAGTGAAGGACCCGGCGTGTGCCTGGTACATAATAAGTGCTCAAGAAATGGTTCTATTTGTTACGAAAACGCAATGGCAAATAAGTAAACCATCTTCCTGGTAGGCCTGGTGGTGGTCCTCGGTCACACCGCTCCATGCCAGGGTGGGAGAAGGGTGCATGGGGATGTGGGAAAGAGTGAAAACTGGCTCCCCCACTCAAAGATAAAAGCTGGGGAGCCCCGAGCTGGGAGCCCAGCTGGCCGCCTGGGGGGCTCTGTGAAATCTGCCCGGGGCAGAAGGGATTGGGGTCCCTCCTGGGGAGCTGGGGAGGGGGCCTCAGAGGGGCCCCTCTGTGCCCTGTTCTGCTGCACGCTGGGGCCCAATCGAGGGGCCCTGACTGAGCTGTGCTCTCCTCTCTGCTTGGTGCCTCCTAGGCTGGGCCCCGTCCTGGGCCCCCAGGCGTTCCCCAGACTGGTGGGGCTCCTCGAGGCCTTTTCCTCCTTGCAACATCTGGAGTGAGTACAGACCCCAGACTACCCGGCACCCTTGGGCTTTGACCACCCAGACCCTGCCCCTGTTCTCCCGTTTCTCTCACTCTGTCCTGCTGCGTCCTCAGTGTGGCTGGTGTGAGTGGCCAATGACCCCATGCAGGGAAGGGACGGCAGGTGGGAATCCCCAGTAATAAAAAAACGTGAAATCCTTTGTGACCTTTGAAACTCTTCCCACGGCCTCGTGCCCTGCTCCCAGCAACCCCATGGGAAAGCAGGGTCAGGAGCGTGGCCCACCCTGCAGTTGAGGTCCCAACAGGTTAAGGAAGTTGTGCAAGCTCACGGGGCTCCCAGGAAGGAGAACAGGGATTCAGGCCTGTGGGGAGTTAGAACCTTGTCCCCTGCCTGGCCAGCTGGTGCCCCTGGCTGATGAGGACTTGCTCTCAACAGCTCAGCCGTCTGCCTATGGTGTGTCCAGAGGTGGGGGGATGGGAGGAGCCGCTGCTGGGTCGGAGGGAGGGGGAGGTGGCCTCCACGGTGCTGGCTGACGGCCCCCATCTGATTCCACCTGCAGCCTGGACTCGCTGAGCGAGAACAAGATCGGGGACGAGGGTGTCGCCCAGCTCTCGGCCACCTTCCCACAGCTGACGGCCCTGGAGACGCTCAAGTGAGTGGGCTGGGCCTGTCCTTCCCACTGCATTTCACCCCCAAGTCCAGCTGGCTTTTTTATCCTTTCATTCACTCATCCATCTAATCATGCATCCCTCCAATCATTCACCCATTCACTTATTCATTCATTCACTCAATCATTTCCTTATTCACTCATTCATCCAACCACTCATTCAATCATTTCTTTATTTAATCACCCATTCAACCAATCATTTATTAATTTAATCAACAGATGTTGAAGGGGCACCTACCATGTGCAGGCACCATTCTAGGCCCTGGAGACCCAGCTTTAAACAAAACAGAGCCCTGACCTCAGGGCTCTTCCAGTGCGGGGGCACAATAAACAAGCAAACGAACAAATCCGTAATTGCAGACTATTCAGTGATGAATGTAAACAATGTTTAGTGAGAGAAAATTACACTGGGGGATGAAATAGGAGAGATAGATCACGATTTATCAGTAAAATATTATTATAAAAGTAGTAAATTTTTATTTTATTTATTTATTTTATTTTTATTTTTATTTTTTGTTGAGGAAGATTGGCCCTGTGCTAACATTTGTGGCCAATCCTCCTCTTTTTGCTGAGGAAGACTGGCCCTGGGCTAACATCCGTGCCCATCTTCCTCTACTTTATATGGGACGCCGCCACAGCATGGCTTGATGAGCAGTGCATTGGTGCACACCTGGGACTTGAACCTGTGAACCCCAGGCCACCGAAGGGGAGCGTGCAAACTTAACCACTACACCACTGGGCCGGCCTGTAAATTTTTATTTTTTAAAAAAACTGCTCTGGGCTTTGGGCAGTAGGAGATGGCTATGATGCAGAAGGATCAACATGATTTTTTACTGAACCTAGAGGTATCATCAAAATCTGTCCACACTCCACTTCATGACTGTGATTGGTACAGCCACAGAATTCACCAGAATTCACTTAGGGGTTTCCTTGATTGTCAGACACTGAGACTTCTCAGGCAATTTATAGTGTTCTAGGTAACATGGTGAGCAAGGTAGATTTCCCTCCCTTTGTCCGTCCTTCCATCCATCCTTCCTTCCTTCCTCTCTCTCTCCCTCCCCTCCCTCCTTCTCGTCCCCTCTTAAATATTTATTGAGCACCTACTACGTGGTTGGCACTGCTCTCGGCACAGGGATGCAGTAATGAACAAACAGCTGCAACCCCTCGCCTTGTGGAGCCCACGGCCATTAAACGAATAACATGAACACTTATTTAATTGCAGTGCTTAAAAGTGCTTCAAAGGGAGGCGGCCTGGCAGCATAGTGGTTGGGTTCACACGCTCTGCTTCGGCGGCCTGTGGTTCACTGGTTCAGATCCCGGGCGTGGACGTGCACACCGCTTATTGGGCCATGCCGTGGCAGGTGTACCACATGTAAGGTGGAGGAGGATGGGCATGGATGTTGGCCTGGGGCCAATCTTCGTCAGCAAAGGGGGGAGGATTGGCAACGGGTGTTAGCTCAGGGCTAATCTTCCTCACCAAAAAAAAAAAAAAAAGTGGTTCAAAGGGACAAGAAAGGATACTATAAAATCGTCAAACAGTGTGGAGGGAGAGCGATCTGTCTCTCTCATCTGTGTTCTCACCTCATCACCCCACTCAGCCACAGGACGTAACAGTATCTTTTTATTTATCAAGAGTTAGTGGAAGTCCACCCACAGCGCATTCACAGTTCATTACCCACGACTCTCATCAAGGTGGATGGTCATGTGTTTCCTGCTCTGGGCCGCCCTGTGAGGAAGTGAGAGTTCCCCAGCTCCACCCAAGCCCGGGGCAGACAGATGCTGATGGGCAAGGGGTGTGCGAGTTTGGCGCTGAGCCCTCCCCTCTCTATGTGCCTGCAGCCTGTCCCAGAACAGCATCACCGATGTGGGCGCCTGCAAGCTCGCCGAGGCCCTGCCCTCGCTGGCTGCGTCCCTCCTCAGGCTGAGGTGAGTGGGGCCCCGCGTCAGTCAGGTGCTGAGCTGGTGGGCTGCGGGAGGGCAAAGCCCCCTTCTTGCCAGCTGCAAAGTGCAACACTGGGACTCTGGAAGCAGTCACTGCAGGCTGTTCTGCTGCGTCGGTGTCGCACACCTTGGGGTAGGGGGCATCAACCTAAAATCCAGTATGAACACAATGCCCCGGAGTTGGGCAATGCCACAGCCCCAGACAAGAGTGTTAGCATGACCTGGCAAAGAGCATCTGACAGACTCTGGGCAAGTCGCTGACTCATCTCAAGCCTCTGCTTTCTCACCTGGAAAATGGGTACCATAAATGGCCCAAGGAAAGAGGTCTGGTGTGCAATAAATATTGGTCCTCTTTCCCCAGGGGATGGCAGGACTGAGCCTTTTCTGGAGTCCAGGGGTGGTGGTTGCTAGAAGGCTGACCTTGGCTGGCTCCTGTCACTCACACATGGTCAGTGCCTACACTGCCACCTTCTGGCGGGCCTTGGCATAGCACTTTTTGCTTTCGGTTACCTCCAGCCTGGCCCCTGGGGGGTCCCAGGGACTAATGAGGGGGCCGAGAGCTGGGACCGGAGCCCCAGTATGAGCCCCAGTGTTGCCAGCTCTCCTCTCTCGCCAAACTAGGAGGAACTTGCCTCTCCTTCCCCAGCCCTCGTCACCTGCCAAGGACGGCCAGAGTCAGATTCCCAGGGGAGATGGCATCTAGTTATTGACACATCCATTCTCTATCCTTCCGGCCAGGGTCACCGGGTGCAGCTGTGTAGGTTGTGTACTGTGCAACTCGTAGTCTACATGGATGGCACCCCCTAGAGTTGTTCAGGGCATGTGATATTCTCTAATATCAACCATGGGCAGAACCTGTGCTAGGAACTAGAGATACAACTAAGAACAAAACAAATGTGGTTCTTGCTTTCCAGTTTCTTGCATAATAAATAAGTAAGCATATGCATAAATATTTTAAAATAGTGATTCATGCTGGGAAGGAAACTAACAAGGGCCCAAGAGGGTACAATAGGGAGTATGGAATTGACTAGGGAGGTCAGGAGACCTCTGAGGAAGTGACCCTTTCGCTTCCAGGGGAAGCTCTCAGGGAAAAGCATTCCAGGAAGAGGGAACAGCAGATGCAAAGGCCCCGAGGTGGGAAAGAGGTTGGGTCTTTGAGGGTCATAAGGGCCCCTGCGGCTGGCTATAGGGAATGAGGGACAGAGGGTGGGAGAGGAAGTGGAGAGGTCAGAGGAGGCCAGATCCTGCAGGGAGGCCCTTGTAGGTCAGGAGGGGGCTTCTGGAGTTTTTCCACTGTGAACGGAGAAGCAGGTGAGTCATATGGGGGTGATAACCTGACCTGACTGACCCTTTGAGAAACTAAATCTAAGATGCCATCCATTGTAAGACACCACTACGAGGACAAAACGCTGCTAATTAAACTCCGACACTCACTGATTGTCAGTCACCCTGACCTCAGTGATGCTCAGATGTGACCATGTACATCTTGGCACCAAGGAAATGTGGGAAGAATCCTCTGCCTGCGGGGGGAGGAAGGGCCTCCTGGGTTCTGAGACCCCCCAGGAAGAGACTGTGAGCCTCCGCCTAGTATCTGCTCTGGTACCGGCGACTCGTGACGTCAGGGGATGCTGGAGTTGAGGCTGGATCCACTTTGCTGCAGTGTGGACCTGCTTTTACAGGCAGCCCTGCAGTGGGGCCCTGAGGCTGAGTCACGGCAAAGTCACAGCCTTGACATTAGAACCTCGGCAGCACCCGGCTTGTTAAAAGGATGCGCCATGATGAGTGTACAGCTTAAGTCGGCACCAGCGACTATTTCCGACGCTGCTCGTGGGGGCTGTGAATACACCACAGAAACCTGAGCCGGCCCAGTGACTCCGGGTTTTTCTCTCCCCTCGTATCCCCAGTGCTGGTCACACCCTCTACGGTAACCCGTTTAATCGTCACACACCCCCGGGAGTAGTAAAAACCATAGCCAACATTAGATCGTTCCGCGTGCCAGGCCCCATTCTGGGTGTTCTACCAGCATTAACTCATTTACTCCTGCCCACAGTTACTCTACCGTGCCCATTTTGTGGAGGAGCAAACTGAGTCACAGAGGAGTTAAGTGACTCCCCGAGGTCACACAGGCAGCAAGCTGCAGAGCTGGGATCTGAACTCAGGAAGTCTCAGCCAGGAAGCTACTTCCACTCAGTCCTGCTGCTTCCCTGGCCTCGCTGTGTGACCACGGAGAAGCAGCCTCGACTCTCTGGGCCTCAGTTTGCCCCTCTGTAAAATGGGGCGGCAATGCCGGCTGGGTGTGGGTCCCCTGGGCCCTGACCCCCAGCCCCTGCCCTGCCCTCTGTCTCTGCAGCTTGTATAATAATTGCATCTGTGACGTGGGAGCTGAGAGCCTGGCACACGTGCTTCCAGACATGGTGTCCCTGCGGGTGCTAGAGTGAGTGGGAGCCTGGCAGCGGGTGGCGGGGGCCTGGGGAGACTGGGGGGTTTCTGCTGGCATCGTGGGAGGGGCCGGGCTGAGGTCTGGTTGTCGAGAGCATGGTGGTGGCCCGGGTCAGGGCTGGATGGCCCGAGGGCCAGGCCCCAGGACGGTTTCTCTCCCCAGTGTCCAGTACAACAAGTTCACAGCCGCGGGGGCCCAGCAGCTCACGGCCAGCCTGAGAAAGTGCCCTCACGTGGAGACGCTGGCGTAAGTCTCGGCAGTCCTATGGGTGGAGAGCCACCCGCTGCGTTTCAGGGTGTCAGCCCCATGCTCAGAGCCCACTCTGCCCCTCACCCACGTGCGACCTTGGGCAAGCAGACACTGCACCCCCGTGGCCTCAGTTCCTCCGTCTGTAAAATGGGAGTGATAATACTTACCCCCAATCAGTTTTGTAAGGTTAAATTAGTCAAGACTTATGGAACGTTGTCCGGTACACGAAAATGCTCAATATATTAGTTTGAACAATATGAAATCGCTTATATACAACTATTTTTGACCTACAAAATTGGCCATTTCATATGGTGCAAACTTGTTTATTATTATGTCACCATGATGTCTAATGGCCAATACTGGTACTTGATACTCTTTCAAATCACTCTCATCTATATAATCACTCATATCTTCTAAGAAGGGGGATCTTCTAACACCCATTTTACAGATGAGGAGAATAAGGCACAGAGAGGTTACCTAACCATTTTGAGGTAACACAGCACGTCAGCAGCAGAGCCAGGTCTAAAGACAGGGGTCTTGGGGCTCCTAGGCCTCTGCTGTCCTCATGACCCAGCTCTGCCCTGGGCCTGCCGGGTGGGAAGTCCCCAAGGTTCTAGGCTGGGTGGGAGGGGGATCTGGTGGCAGCTTGTGTTGGGGTCTCCAGGCCACCGTCTCTCCTCTAACCTGGCCTCTGCGTCCCATGCCCTATCACAGGATGTGGACGCCCACCATCCCGTTTGGTGTCCAGGAACACCTGCAGCAGCTGGACTCCCGGATCAGCCTGAGATGATCCCGGCTGTGCCCAGGACAAGGTAGCTGGGGTGGGCTTGGGAGGCAGAAATGCAGGGGCCCCTGGGGTGAGTGTCCCAGTGAAGGAGGAATCTGTAAAAAGGGGGTGGGGGCAGCGTGGGAGCTGGGTGACCACCCCTGGACCATGCACTGCCTGGGCCTCCCCGGTCTCGGGGCTGGGCTCAGTGGAGGTGTCCTAAAGGTTTGAGCTTGGAGACTGGGGGAAGGACAGGGTGGGGGGCCGTCCCCATCCCACAGCCCTTAGCACTGGGCAGCTCTTCCTGCCGGGACAGCCAAGCCGTCCCTGGGGCCATCTCTGCCTGTGTGCTGCCTCGATGCCCCACAGCATCTTTGTAGGAATTGGCTCTACAAGTTTCCTGTCTCTCACTGTGCAGATGGCTGCCCCCTCACTTCCGTGCTCCCCCGACCTGTGACGTCCCCCTCCTCCCTTCCCACCGTCCCTGCCATCCCCGATGTTGACAACACTCTCCATGTGTCACGCTGCTCCCTCCTAAAGCTTCCTGACTTCCCCCTCTCCTGACCTCCCACAGCGCGTGCTCTGCGGACACTGACCATGCTGGACCTTGGCCTGGTGATTTGTGGAGACAGCTCTTCTTGGGCGTATCTTACAGGCCTCGGCGCCCTGGCACCCAGCCTGGCTCAGGGTCGGCCCCGCCCAGCTGCGGAAGGACTGTCGGCCTGCTCCTCAGACGGACTCAGGCCCGGCTCCAGGCTCATTCAGGGCTCACAGTGATGCCAGCCCTGCTCGGCCGCTGCGGCCCTGGCAGACGGGCGGGCGCCTGGTGGCAGCTGCAGTCCCCCAGGAGTCCTGGGGCATTCCCTGCGGGACGCTCCAGACAGCGTGGCCAGGCCAGAGTAAGGATGGAGGCGGCCACATCGCCACCTCCCCGGGTCCCTGCAGCCTGGGGAGAAAGCAGTTCTCACGTTGCTCTCCTGACGGGTGCCTGGTGCTCTGCAGACACCAGCGGGCACCCCCGGTCTGCTCATTCTCAAACACGACAGGCTGGGACTCTGTGGCAGCTGCTTTCCGTCGGTGGGACTTACTGTTTGCACTAACTTTGTTTGCCGAGGCCAAGTGAGGCCTGGCCAGACACACTGGACCTTCGCAGGAAGACAGCTGACAGTACACTAATGGAGGAGGGGAGGGGAGACGGCTGGGGACCCCATCTGCGTGTTCGCCTGCATTTCCGGTGTCTCTTTCCACTACATGATAAATGGCTCCTTGCCTCTCCCAGGCAGGCCGGTGCTGGAGTTTATCCCGTGATTAACATTTTGGGGCGCCCACTGCTCCGATCATCTAATGCGTCATAAACCACCCCAAAATGCAGAGGCTTAAACTGCACACACATCCGTTCTGCTCACACTGCCGTTTGGGCAGGGCTCGGCAGGGACAGCTCGTCTGCCCCCTCAGTGTCAGCTGTGGTCATCTGAAGGCTCGTTCACTCCTGTGGCTGGCACTAGATGCTGGCCGGTGGTGGGGGCCTCGGCTCCTCTAAGGAACGGTGAGAGGGGGACCTCTCCATGTGGACTGGTTTGGGCTTCCTCACAGCGGTGGCTGGGTTGTGAGGTGGTCAACCACAAAGGGAGAAAGAGAGAGAGAGAGAGAGACCACAAGAGAGAAAGTGCGTCCTTTTTATAACCTAGCCTTAGAAGTCACACAGCAGCACTTCCACCATATTCTTTGTCCAGTTTGCCAGGGGCCATCGCTCTCCCACCCCCATCCCCCAACACACACACACACACACACACACACACACACACACACACACGCACGCACGCGCGCACACGCCCGCGCGCAGATGCGCTGTTTGGGGAGCAGTAAGGTTGAGGCGCCGTGAGCCTGCAGAGGGGAACGTCTGCCTCTGCCCCGCCGCTCCATCAGCATCTCCGCCAAGCTGGAATCCTGCCTGGAAGGGACTTGGCAGGTTTGCTCTCTCCAGGGAGCGCCGCCAGCTCTGCTGCTGTTGTTTTTCACCCGGGCACGGCCTGCTCAGTCAGAAGCCCCGATTTGGGACAACTTGGCTTTCTCCTGGTGGCAGTGAGACCTGTCTGCCCGGCTCTAGTGCACCAGCCCTGATGCCTGGTTCACAAACTCGCCTCCTCTTCCCAGCAAGGGGGAGTGGGGGGTCGGGAGGGTCCGAGGGATTTGGACCCAGCCGCCTGGTTGGCGATCCCGGCAGAGGCGGTGCGTCCTGCCTCAGCCCAGCTGCAAAGGGCATCAGGCGTCATGACCCAGGCTTGGGTTTTAGATAGCTCGGGCTCGGGCGTCCTCCCTCAGGGCGTCCCTGCATTTGTGGACTTTGTGGAGTCCACGGGACTCCCCCTGGTGCAGCCACAGGGGTGAGCACTGAGCCAGGCTCCCTCCAGTCCAGGCATCTGCCGCCCCCTTCAGGCAGGCGGGGAGGGCGCTACTGTCCCCACTGCTTGTGGTCTGTTCAGACAAAACGAGGTCAGAGGCTGTGACTATTCATAGTCGTGGCTGTTAAACGACAACTACCATTTATTAAATGAGCTGATACGTGTAAAGTGCTTATCACAGTGCAAGGGATGTAGGAAGTGCTCGATACATACTGGCGTTATTATTACTTTGTGCTAGGCACCATGCCAAGCCCCCTACTCATAGTCTAGGTCAGCAGCACAGACTCCAGAGCTAGACGGCGTGGGCTTGGAGTCCAGCTCACCACTTGTGCAAATTACTTCTCTGTGCCTTGGTCTCCTCATCTGTAAAATGGGCACAGGCATAGGACCTTCTTCGTGGGGTTATGTGGAGATTCAAGAAGCTAACACACTGAGAACAAGGGCGTGGCATGTGGCTTGATATGTGTTAGCTGGCCTTACTGCCTATGAATAGGTGTTTCTTTCTTGCCTCTCCCTGGCATGTTCTTCCCGGCTCTTCGCGTGGCCGACTTCTTCTCATCCTTCAGGACTCAGTGTGAAGGAGAGCTCCCCAGGAAGGTCTACCAGACCACCCTATCAAACACAGACGCCCCTTCCCCCCCACTCTCCAACCCTGTCGCTAGTTTCTCTTCTTCCTGCGTGTGTTGTGTCGTCTGCTCTTGTCCCGGGGTGTGAGCTCCGGGAGGCCAGTAACCTGTCTGCTCAGCTCACTGCTGTGCTCTCTGCACCCAGCAAGGCGCCTATACATAGTATGTGCTCAGTAAATGTCTGTGGAATGAACGAATAATCCTTACCACTTTGCTATACTCGTTCCACAAATATGAACTGAGTACACAGTGGTGAATAAGACGCTCTGGTAAGTCTTGCTAATTTTAGTAAAATTTAAAAATCTCGGGGTAGGGCTGTTGGGTGTGGTGGGGCAGTCTGTGCACTGCACAAAGGCACCTGGACAAGGGGGCAGCTGGGGGCTGTAATCCAGTCTGGGCTCTGCTTACCAAGCTGTCAGTCCTGGTGTGGAGCCATCTCGGCCCAGAGGGGCACCTTTGTAACCAACACAAAGTCATCTCATGAGGAGAGTAAATTACTGTCCCCATTTCACAGAAGATGTGACTTGCCTAAGGTCGTACCCTATAAAGGAGGGAGTCAAGATGCAGACTCGACTTCTGACTTCTCTGGAGGGTCTCTCGGCGGGCACAAGCCCAGTACGCTAGAATTGTGGGGCGGGAGAAGCGATGCCCAGAAGGGTCCGGGCATCCGACACCTGGGGCCACACCGCCTGGCGATGCATGATTCCCCCTTTAGTGGATTTCAAGTCCAAGCATCTTTAAACCCCCACCTTTCCCCTCGGGCCTCTCCCAACGACAATGTCTCCCTGCTCACGCTCACCTTTCTCCTCGGGCCTCTCGAGCGTCTGCTTCTGTTCACATTTCCGAGTGTCCCCCGCCCTTAGACTCACATGAGGACACGCGGTGCTGCGATGGTCTTTTCTCGAGTCCCGCCGGCCCTTTACGCCCCCACCTGTCTCCTCACCTGGACAACGGGACTCATCATCAGCACTTGGTTAAGGAGGTGTGTACGGGAAGGTGCTTTGAAAAGCATCCAGTGCTCTACAACTGGAGAGAATTACTGCCTTTTTCTCTCGAAACTGAAGTGGAGCCGGTTTCACTCACTCCTTCGTGCCTCCCCTCACTCACGCACCCCTCATCTTGAGGGAGGTCTCCGTGTGCCCAGCACCAGGCGTACCACACCTCCAACTTCTCTGGGACTTGGGCCCCCTTTCCAGCATGGCCACAGGCCTTCCTCCCACACCCCAAAGGCCAGCCCTGGCTTGTCAGGCTTGCGGAAGCTAGGAGGGGGCCTCTGGGACCCCCGTGCCAGCCCAGCTGAGTGAACTCTCCAAACCCCGCTGGGCCTCCAACTGCGGAGGCCCCGACTCTAATGCCCTTTGTCAACCGTGAGGTTCTGCGTGAGGGCTCTTTTCCCGAACCTCAGAGAAAAAAAAGGCAGGGCCCCAGGATTGGAGTTGCATATATTTTTTAATTGAAGGAAGTCAGCCTCCTAAGTATTGCTTGTACAGGTGTATCGAAGTCAAGTATTCATACCACTCACAGTTTCAAAAAATATTTGCGGCCAGAGGAGCAACGTGGCGGCCCTCTCCCGGCACTATGTGTCAGTTCTGCAACTTGATGAAGAACAAGCAACTTGAAATGAATAAGTCGAAACCCCACGCTCAGCCCCCGACACGTCCCTCAGCTTCCTTTCCTCCTGAGTCACTCCCAGAACAGTCCCTGCATCTAAGGCCAGCCTGGGGCCAGACCCAGCCGGGCTTCAGGCTCTGCTGGCAACAGACAGCTGGAAGTGGCTTTTGCGTGTGTGTCCCGGGTGTGAAGTGTCCTCTCCAAAGGTTAAGTGGGGGAAGCAGGTGCGGTCGGGGGTGAAGAGCCGGGAGGCAGACTTGGGGTGCGTTCCTGTAAACATCCATCGCAATCGCGAAAGGTCAGAAGCCAAGGCAAGGCCATCTGTGCGACGCTGCGGGCGGCTGAGGTCTCCGGACGCCCTGCCGTCCCCCTCGGGCAGGGAGAGATGCCTTCCCCACCTCGGCCCTCAGTCTCAGTCTCTCCATCCCACCGTCCTGGGTCTGGACGGGAACCTCTCTGTTGGCACGGAGCTTATGAGGGGAGCAGGCCTGATAAGAAGGAAAAAGGGGCATTACCAGTATGGAAGCTCCGCCCTGCCACCCATTCGTGGGGGATCTAGACCCCCCCACCAGGCCTCAGGAGGCTCCAGGTGCGGCAGGGAAGCCTTCCTCCATCCCCCACACTCAGGAACCACCAGAAGCCCCAGACTCAGGCTACGAGTGTTTTCCTATAATTTTTATTAATAACTCTTTTTAATGAATTTGCCTGATTCCTAAGGACCCTGGGCTGGAGAACCGGTGCAATTTCACATGGGCAAGAACGACAGTCCATTATTGGGAGGGAGACGGGGATCCTGGTACCTGGAAAGAGGGCAGCCTGCTTGGGGCTCACCCAGGGCTGCTGGCTGACGTGAGCTCCGGGCAGCTGAGCATGGTCTGGGCAGTGGGCAGGGCTTGGCAGCACCTCGCACATTGCCCAGAAAATGCTTCGCAGCCTACAGAAAGGCTGTGACCACAGCCAAGGTACTCAGCAGCCCCACTTGGCTCGTCCTCCCAGGACATGGCATCATCCCACTGCCTGGCCCCTCGGCTGGTCCCACTTCCTGTTCCCTTCTCTCCGTGTCCAGCTGGGTGCCAGTGTCTCTGCAGCATCTTTATTCCCATGCCACCCTCCTGCCCTGGTCTGACCCTCATCTTTGCCAGCTCAGACTACTCCTTCTGCAAATGTCATTGAGCATCAAATAAAACTTACATGTTACACACGCAACATTGTTCATCAGGGTGCTATTGACATTGGGGGCAGGACAATTCTCCGATGTGGGGCTGTCCTGGGCACTGGAGAATGTTTAGCAGCGTCCCTGGCGCTGACAACATGCCAGTAGCACTCCCAGGCACTGTGACAACTAAGAATGCCCCCTTGCCCCATTTCCAAGGGCTACCAGAGGGTGCAGAACTGCTTCCACTGAGACCCACGTAGCTCCCTACGGTTCAGAGAAGCCAAGTGACCTGCCTAAAGTTGCACAGCTGTGACACGCAGAGCTGGCACTAGACTAGTGACAGTGATGGAAAAGATCACAGTCAGGGCAGCCACCACTTCCTGAACTTCTACTATGTGCCAGGAGCCCAAGGTAGAGGTGTGGGTGCCTCGTCCCATTCCCTCACTCACCCTTCTGGGGCATGCTGACCTGGTGGCTTCCGTCTGCAGGGACCTGCCTCTGCCCGAGACCTTTCTCTGCCTGGCCCCTGGGCTGCAAGTGCAGGCAGAGCTAACGTCTCCCCATAGCCGGCTTCTGACCAGTGATAGCCAGAAAGGCAGTGGATCAATACCCCGGCTCCCGCAGCTGGGGCTCTGAGGCATACTCTCCATCGACACTGGCTCCCAGAGTTCCTGAGCAGGACTGAGCCCAGAGCCGCAGTGGTGACCTACTCAGTGACACCTTCCCTCCTTCTCACTGTCCCACTCCCCACCAGTAGTTCCTGGGATCACCTTGTAAATAAATGACTTGCACTTGAAACTTTGTCCCAGTGTCTGATCCCGGGAGAGCACACCTGAGATGGAGCATTACACAGGTTATTTCATTCAACCCTCCTAACCCCAGGAGTTACATAGGATTATGATTCCATTTTACAGATGAAGACACTAAGGTTCAGAGAGGGTAAGTAACTTGTCTAAGGATGCTCAGCTCTCCAGGGTTTTGTCCCACTGGATATTTTAAACACTACATAATCTCATACTTCCTGTGTGCCAGGTCAAGCTGAGCACTGGGGACCCCATGATGAGCCCCTGCCTTTGACACATAATCTAGTGAGCAATTTCAGCCCGAAGTAATATACCTGACAACAGGAGGACGCACAGGAATTGAATGGAGCCCAGAGTCTGGGGAAGGCTGTGCAAGAAGGGCAGGCCACATAGAGGGAGGGTTGGTGACGAGGGCATGGCAGGTCCTGGACCCTCCTGCAGTTTGGTGAGGGGTGGGGGCAGGGGGTGGAGGGCAGGCCATGGGGGAGACATGGCTGGAGAGGTGAGCAGGAGCCTATCAGCCAGGTTTCTTGTGTCCTCTGCCAGATGCACCTTCTGGAGGCCAGCTGGGAACACAGCCTTCCACTGCTGAGACACCTTCCTGGGCTCCGAGTGATGATACAGGCAAGTCCTCGTGTCCTCCCACTGGACCTGGCAGCGGGAAGGAGACGCTGAGGCTGCAGCCAGAGCATCAGAGAACATGGCCCTCTAGAAAGGCATTTAGGTCCCCCTCCTATCCAGACAGGAGTCACCTTCTGCTAACCGCCCTCCTCCAAGGAAGCTTCAGGGTTCCCTCTGGGGTCAGTGGTGGTGCTCCTGAGAGCCCTGGGGTCCAGGAACCTGGAGCAGAATTATGCACCAATTCCCCCTGGCCAGGGCTCACCGCAGGGCTCCATGGTAGGGGTCACACCTGAGCCCACTGCAGACTTGTGTGGACGAGGTGTTGAGGAACCTGAATCCCATGGACAGAGACTCACTCCTCTCCCGATCCTCGTGACTACAAACAGCGCTGAGAGCCAGACAGGAGTCCGCCCGGTGGGGGCGCCTCTCACAGGTGCCGCCGCCAGTGGAATTCACCAATGCTCTTCTGTTTTCACCGTGTTTGTCTGTAGACTCACCTTCTATTTATGGCACGTGATGCCAGTTTCCCATTTCTGATAGTAATATAAAGTTCCTCTCTTTTCAGAACACTAATTCCACTTTATACAGAGAGCCGGTTTAAAGAAAAGACCATGTACATAATAGTTCAGGCAACAGGCAGATCAAAGCAAAAACTCTTGACAGTTATCACATGAGGTTTGGGAGACCCCAGTGGGTCCCACTCACTCCACAGAGAATGAAGGGGCTCAGAGAGGGCGGTGACTGGTGCTAAGTCACACAGCAAGTAGAAGACAGAGATGTATCTGTGGCTGGAGGACGTCCTGGGACCTCTCATCTGTGTCACCCACTATGGCTGTTAAAGATCAATCCCCTGTTCCTTTCACCTGGAAGTCTGGCCTCACAGCAAAGCCTGAAGGAGAATCTTGACAACAGCCAACATTTATCAAGTACTCTATGCTCCCCTTGTACTAACTGCTTTAACTCATGTCTTAGCTCATTTATCCCTCAAAACAACTGCAGGAGGTGGGGCCAAGCAGGACCATCAAGCCTGAATTTCAGATGGGGCTCAGAAAGATTAGTAAATCGTGCCATACAGGGCCACACAGCTTGTAAAGGGTAGAGCCAGGATTTGAACCTCCGCAGTCTGACTCCGAAGTCTTAATTCCTCTCAGCATCTTAGGTGCGTCTCTTTCCTCCAAGGCATCAAAAGCCCCAGGTGGACAGCATCCCGGAGCTGCAGCTTACAGAATTCAACGCAGCGGGTTCTCCAACCTTCTCACATCATTAGAGCATGACAGACAGTTCATTAGCCGCTGGCTTCTTTTTCTTTCTTTCTGAAACTGTAACCATTCATTCCATGAAAGGTTTCATTCCTCCAAGCTGGACAGAGGGAGTGGCCAGCTGACTCCTTTCTGTCATAAGAATGACAATTGGGCACTTGATCCATTTTTAGAAGCAATGTCTCAGCTCAATACCTCTGCGGAGAAGCTGCCTGGTTTGGGATTTGGCTTGAGCGAGGAAACGGCCCTTATGCCTTACGGGTGCTGGTGGGGATGCTCTGGCCATGCTGAAAGGGGAGAGGCCTCTTTGCAGCTCAGCCGTCCCGTTGTCACTCTCCTCTGGGGCAGCCAGGGCGAGCTCTGGAATTGGCCTATCTGGGGTCATTCTGGCTCTGCCCCGTCCTAGCTGTGAGACGCCAGGCAAGTCACCTCATCTCTCTGGGCCTGTTTCCTCATCTGAAACGAAGACAATGCCTACCTCATCGGGTTGTTTGTTGTGAGGATGATATGGAATCGTGTGGGTGGAATGTCTGCAGTTCCCAGCACACACGAGGCATCAGTACCTGGTGGCTCCTCCCCTCCCTGCCCTCACCTGTTCTCAGGTAGAAAACACAGGGGCAAAGGGCCCGGGCAGTGCTGGGGGCCTTCTGAAAGGGGCGGCCCTCTTCTTCTCCCAAGACCCTGCCTGCTGGAGACCCACTGCTTGTTCCTCTTCCTCCACGTACCCAACAACCAACCAAAGTGGCTGAGACAGGCGCCACCCCAATACCATTTGCCCAGCGTCTCCACTGTGGTCTCAGTGATGGGCTGTGTGACACAAGGGCCTCCGCCTGGTCTAGTTGACAAGTGCGTGGCCGGACAGGGACGGGAAAGGAGAGGCTGCCCAACTGCCTGGGTCTGTGTCCCTGATGGAGGCTAGCGTCCCGTGCAGTTTCTCAGCCTTGGACTCTGGTCTATCTGTGGGCTGTCCACGTGCATCAGCTGTGGGTCTTGTGAAGATTCTTGGTCCAGAATATGTCTCCATTTGGTCAGTGCCCAAGACTCTGTGAGGCCTTCTGAAAGACACCCTTTACCCAGCACCCTCACATGTCTTGCCACATCCAAGAACCACCCAGACTATTTAAGCATTTAAATAGTAGTAATATTTTAAATCAACGCACCTTTTTAACTCCAAAATTTTAAAAGGAACCTTTATGCCACTATTATGAAGAAACAGTATTATTTGTCATAAACAGAAGGCGATGCTAAAAATAAATACGATAAAATGAAACCATTAATTCCAGCCAGACACCGCCGGCCTGCAAAAGTGAGCCTGGGCCTGGTGACAAGGGAAAAGTACCAAGTGCCCAAGAGGTGGCAGGGCATTGAGAGCCTGGTCGCGCTGCTTCGGTGTATTCACTGCCTCCCGGGGACACTGATGGCAGAGGACCTTGCTCAGGAAGCACTGGGATTGTGGCTAGGAGGCCCAACTCGGCCACCTCATAGCTGGGCCCCTGCAGTGAGTCACTGAACCCCCCAAGCCTGTTCCCTTCCCTCCAAAATGGAGCTAATGAGCCCTGCCCTTCACAGGGTGACGGTCAGGGGAAGTGATGGAGACGTGGGGGAGGTGTTATTTATCTTTTTATGGAGGTCACATTGGTTTATAACAT